TGTTTAGCATTTCTTGCTGAACTTGTGAGCTTACCCCATTATCATATTTCAGGTGTTCGTAGAGTAGGAATGTGATGGAGACGCATGATAAAGTCAGATTTTAGCTCGGTTTTCCTTTATTAGGATTATTGTAATAAAGTTAATGTTTTATGAAACTTTATCGAGTTGTTTCAGTGGTAATAGATGTTTTGTTATGTTAGAGGGACTTTCACCTCTATTTATGAATTTGATTTATGTTTGTCAGACACTCATGTTAATAAATTGAATGATGGGATTCATTATAGTTTTTTTTTTGTGTGATGGATGTATGTGGAGAATTGGTGGAAGTTATACATCAAATTTTACATACAAGACAGAGTCTTTGTGTTAAAATTTGGGGTGTGACAGACCCGTTTCCAACAAGTGGTATAACTAAGCTTTTAGCTTTGGATTATTAAATTATTATTGTGAGTTTACGAATTCTCCCTATATATTTTTCCCCTCTTTGTTCTTGATATTTGTTAAAGTTTCACAACACACAATTGACAAATATAGCAAATATAATAGATAAAAAATACACACACAAGCAAAAGAAAATTTACGTTACATTGCCTAATCTGGACGACTAACTCTACTTCAAATTTGAACACCCAACACGCAATCAATACGTGATAACGCGCTACTTCAAAATTTATCTTTCATCATTATTTCCTGTTTGTACACGGAAGTTTGAAATTAAAATAACTGTTTTCTCAAATAACTTGATTTATAGTAATCGGGATATAAGTGGTATATATATATATAGTTACTTCTATGATTTAGTCATCACAACTATACTATCAACATTATGGAATTACGAATGGGTGTAAGAGTTATTCAAAGAGTTTCTTCCATCATCAGTTAAAGTTCAGAAGTCTCAAAATCCTTCACTTTTTTATTGTTTGGTAAATCTACAACTTAATGAATCTTTTAATTCAAAGAACAAAGAAAAATTACATTGACGACACGTAATTACCTAAAACAAATAAAAGAAAAAGTAAAACATCACTGACTATATGTATCCCAACTGGACATTATTCAAAAAGAATGAATATGAAGGACTGACTTTGATTTGCACAACCTCAAAATTCAAACCAATGAAATTTGTTACATTGAGAAACTCTAACTTGAATTAAATCCGTTTATAACTTGGGGTGTGGCCATGAGGTGATCTAGCATTGCGAAGATGCTTCTCTTCAGAGAGTAATTTCGCAAACCTGTGAGACCAGAATTTTGTTAGAATTATTAAAATGAAAAATAAAGCAAACTATATAGTAAAATCAATAAGAATAAGATCATATATACCTTTTTAGAGCCTCTTCGTTAGTCTCTGGATCAGATGGCATAACAGTTGCAGTCTCCAAATTTACCCTTGAAACCGGTTTCTTAAGCAACCCTTCTCCAACCTTCACAAGATCTTCTAAATTAGTCTTGGTGGCTATATCGACTGAAGATACTATCCCGTTTAGTGAGTTATCCTGCAATTTGATTTGGTTCAATAGAGTTAAAAGAAGATACAATTTATAATTTTTTTTTTCTTAAATTATTGCATGTAAGCACAGACACATACTTGAATACGAAGGTAATTCTTCTCCGAGTGCGAGGCTTGAAAAACCACAGAAAGATGGTAATCGACCATATCAGCACTTGCGTGGGTAAACACATCAACTAATGGGGTGGAACCACCACTGGTTAACCACCCCAATACACCCCATTTAGCTGCTACATCTGCATCATATTTTTCCTCAGCTTTTGGTGAGCCAGTTCCGAGGGAAATAACCAATAAACGACCATAGTCCATTTTCTTAATAGCGAGAAAGTCGGGATTTCCCCGCATGATCTGCTTTGTTACTTCACCAATTGCTATCAGAGTCTGAAACAATATTTGAAGTATAATAACATCAAGTTAAAACAAACCAGAAAAGGCAAAATAAGAAAGATAAATAAATCAAGAGTATACAAGATTAAATTATAAATACCGGATTATTTGCAGCAACACCACCATCAATTAAGTTAAATTCTCTAACTCTTCCGTCGGCAGCTTTGGTTTCGAAGTAATGTGCTGGAAGGTAAGTTGGCGCTGCTGAGGTTGCAATGCATATATCTGAGAGTGAGGCATCCAAGCTTGGTTTGTTTTGCACATAATTAAACCATGAAAGAACAAAATTAGCGAACACTGCTATAGTGCTATGTGCTAACTCCAACCATTAAACGATGTAGTGGATGGAAATTATAAGTTGAAAAAAACAAAAGGGACTAACCTCGTAGGTGGAAAAGATGGTTGGCTCGAGTTTCTTGATGTCAAATGTCGGTATTGCAATATTAGTCAATGTCTGGTGTAGTTTTATGTTTCCTAATTTTTCCTTAACGATGTTGTGGAGGTACTTCCCATCATATTTTGGTCCCGACAGGGCTTTAATTATCTTTGCAACATGAGGGAATGAGGACCTGTTGTACAAAAAGTTGAACCATACTAGTTAACAACCATAAACAATATATCAGTCATAATTAGTTAGCTTTCTTATAATTAATTATAGATAATTACCAGAGTTGAGGGAAGATTTTAGGGCAGCTTTCGAGGTAGAAGTCTTTAATATCCTTGGCTGCAAACAAGGGACGGTTATTTTCATTTGGTGCAGTAAGCATGGCAGTCACAAGCCCACCTGTGCTTGTCCCTGCAATCACGTCAAAGTAGTCTGCAATTCTTGCATCCTCTCCATCCAGCTTCTGCAACAAATGAAAAAAAATCATATATATAGACAATTTGAATAAACTAAGTCCGAAAGATTAATTAAAACTTCTATTGGCTTTGTATATTGATCGCAGGAATGCCGTGTTGCCATTTGAGTATAGAAGAAGTAAATTACCTGAAGCTCAGACTCCAGAAAGCTGAGGATTGTTCCCGGGATAATCCCTCTTATTCCTCCTCCATCAATGCTGAGGACCGTGATTAGGTTTCCATAAGTTGGGGGCTGTAGGATTGACTTTTGTCCTTCCATGTTACTAAAAGGGTGATAGCTGAAGAAATTTGAAGTTTCCGAAGTTTTGTGAGAATGAGAAGCACTCTTCTATGAGGATGGATATTTAAATTTGAGCTTTCGGACACAGAGAGACTTGAAGTTGTTTTGATCTTGAGAAGCACTCTTCGATATTTATAGAATCCTTATCCTTCTTATTCTTTAAGCTTCAAAGATTTCATGAGCCATGCATCTGCTTTGAAATTCATGCAGCGGTTGTACTTTTTCGAAATTCATGCAGCTTTGTAGTTCTTCGGGTTAGATTTGACTGAGTCTATAATATTCAACGCATGAACGTACCAATCGAAAATTCCACATTCGAACAGTAGTCATGTTGGTAGTCTCCTGCTTTTGCAGCAAAAACATTGTCCCCTGGGCACCGTATGTTAGAATTTTAGGTGAGACTCAGAATTGTAGGTAAGACTAGCTAATTTGGCAATAATGGTCCAAATGGAATATATTATCTTTCTTTTTTTTCAGATAATCCAATGGAGTTCTATAAACCTTATCCATTGGACAATAAATTAATTGTGTAATTGTCTGGTGAAGAACATATTTTTTTTTTTTTTTTTCGAAAACTTGTCTGGTGCAGGAGTTGAGGTTGCTTGTCCTACTCAATGAATTCGAAAACCTGCCGAAGTTCTAATTGCTAACGCGTCATTTGAATTCGAAAAAGGTGGCGTCGTGTCAAATGAAAACACTGGTAAGCCATTCAAAATGCTACATTGAGGAAGTGTGCCTAAAATAACTTAAATATTGCCTTATAAGACTTTCTTTTGCTATCATTCACTCATGTTTTTGCTGTGCCATTGCATAATTTATGGACTTGACTCTAATATAAGCTTGATATTCTGGATTAATCATTGAACTTAGGGTTTTAAAAGACCACAAGTTATTAGACAGCCTTTACATATCCTTCATAAAATTTATGAATTCTTAGTTTGCAGGATATCTCTCTGTGCAATGCAGTTGAACATCTTATCAAAGTTTCATAAATGACAAATTTGATTTTTGTGACCTCGATCCCACAAGGAACAATATCGTCAACAAACAAAATAATTGACATAATCTTAAAGAAAATGAATGTTGCATGCATTAGCAGGAAACAATGGTAAAATCAGAATGATATAATGTGTCCATCTGAGCTCTCAACGCGTCTCAGTTGTAACGATTAGTGACTGATGATATGTACTATTGACAGTGAAGAATCTGTTATATCCGATTCTAGTTATATATATTTCCTAAGGTTCATACTCTAATGCTCCGTTTGGTTGGATGGATGGAAAAACCAAGGTTGTTAAAATCGGGATTCTATGTAGAATCGTTTTGGGCTCCGTAGAATCGGAATCGTAGAATCGGATCGTGAATCGTAAGATTCTACCAAATTGTGAAAAAATAATTGAAACTAACTTCCTAAACAATAAGATATGTAAAATATAACCAAAATAAGGCCAAAACATACCATATTACATATCCATGACTTCAAATCTCAAATCCTAACAATATTCTAAAGTCCGAATATAAATAAAAGTAAAAGAAAATATTCCAAAGTCTGAATATAAATAAAAGAGGATGTAACACAAAATAAAATAGTCCATAAATCTCAAATCCTAACTCATCCCTCTCCAAAGTTAGAAACTAAAATTACATATCCATAAAGTCATCATTGAACCCTGCACCATCTTCCTCATTAGCTTCATCAATAGGATTTAATGGCTGCAAATCTTCATTATCATCAATTGCATAAATTTCCTCAACTACAAAGCATAAAGAAAGAACAAAAATTAATATAATGTAATAATTTATACAATATTATAATAAAAGTTTAAAATTTAAGTTCTTACGTGTCCTAGTCATCCTTTCTACTTCATCTTCTTCATCGGAATCATCTTCTTGAACTTTGTCATCAAGAACTCTCAACCATTTAGTTTTTGTTGGAAGAACCGGATCCTCTTTTTTGGTAATTCATTCATCATCGGAAGAGACATCTTCAAAAATAATTGGTTCTATGACAGCTTGTCTTTTCAAGTTCCTCTCCTTCAATTTTATGTTATACATAACAAATACCAAATTATTCATTTTCTTTTGTTGCAACCAGTTTCTCCTTTTTGAATGCACCTAAATATATTACCAATGAGGTTAAAACTTAAAATTAAACAACAACATTATTAAAATTTTAGAACTATGCATTATTCAGTAATTTACCATCTCAAAGGCACTCCAATTCCTTTCACATCCCGAAGAGCTACATGTTAAACTCAATATTCTAATTGCAAACCGCTTCAATTCGGGGCACTCATCACCATATGAATCCCACCATTCAGCTATTATATTAAAAAAATTATAACATTAAAGTTAAAACTATTCAATTTTCAATTGACATTTGAATTACGATATATAATAAATTATCAAATATCAATATTGCATTTTCTAACCTGGAGACTTCTTGTTCCTTGTCAATATTGCATTATCTAGGCCAAAGAGCCCTCTTGCAGCTTTGAATGTGTCCATTTGGCAATCAATTTTTACTCTCTCATTAGAATCAGGAACCATTCTTTGGAGACATTTATAAACTCCTATTTTCACATCTGCATCTAAATGGAAACTTGGACTATATTGGAATTGGGGATTCAGAAAATATGCTGCCGCATGCAAGGGTTGATGAAGTTGAGATGCCCATCTTGCATCAATGATCGTACAAATAGGTTCATACCTACAAAATCGTTAATTTAATGCAAGTCTAATAATTTTCAGTTTAACTATTTACAAACAATACTATATTCTAAACAATAAAAAACTCTATTACTCTTTTAGTTTTTAAATAAATTAAAACTTTACCACTTTTTGATGCCATTGAAGTTTTTCTTAATTTCCTCCTTGGCACGATCCATTGCTCCATAAATGAATCCCATAGCCGGTCTCTCATCAGAATCCACCAATCGGAGTACTTTAACAAGAGGTATTGCAGCTCTTAGACAATTGGCAACATTTGTCCAGAAGTTACGATTGTCTAAAGCCACGCCTTCAACTCTTTTCCCTTTACGTGTCCTTGCAAACTTACTAGACTTCCACTTAGAGGATGTAAAAAGATTCATCAATTCTCCTTTTAGTTCATTAAGACGCTGCAAAGTTAAGTAAGAAGTGGCAAATCGCGTTACTGCAGGTCTAATAAGCTCCTTGCCATTTGTGAATTCCTTCATCCAATGGTTAAGCATACACCTTAAATAAATGTATGAAACAATCATCCTTCCATCTTCAATTGTCTCACTATGCATCTCAATTTTTTTTCTCAAAATCCTCCAACATCAATGCAATGAGCGGCACAAGGTGTCCAAAATAATTTTTTCCTCTTTTCCATCAACATCTCTCCAGCCAATTTGTAGTTAGAAGCATTATCAGTCACAACTTGTGCAACATTTTCTTCTCCAACTTTTTCCACAATCTCATCTAACATTTCAAAAACCATTTGGCCAGTTTTTGATATATCAGAAGTATCTCGGGATGACAAAAAGATAGTTCCCGATGGGCTATTGACAAGAAAATTACATATTGAACGTCTCCTCCTGTCAGACCACCCATCTGACATAATAGTACATCTAGTCTTCACCCATTCTCCTCTAAAATTCTCGAGTATATTCAATGCTTCACTCACTTCCTTCTTCAAGAATGTCTCTCTAATTTCATGATAAGAAGGAGGATTGAGCCCCCTCCCATACTCTCTAATCCTTTTAATCATAAGAGGAAATATGGGATTGTTCACACAATTGAATGGTATAGCACTGGTATAAAAAAATCGGGCTATGATTTGACATACTGCATCTCTCTCTTCCTTTTTAAATTTCTCATTCAATGTTGTTTGCCATGACGAATTCTTTGTTACAATCCATCCATTGCACCACCTTGCTTCCACTTCTTTGATTGTTCTAAGGCTATACATTCACTATCATCATCATCGATATCAACATCATATAAGTTTTGTTTCTTCTTCTTTTGACTTTCCTCTGAATGAGCTTGAAGAATTTTTTGAAATTGTGTTCTCACTTCTTCGGGCACTTGTGGACACGGCTCAACATTTAAATGAGTGCCAACCAAGTGATGTTTATGCTGATAAATATCCCCAGAATGGGAAGTGTTGCAATATCGACACTTCACTTTTTTTGAAGTCCCATCCTCAACCCCATGTTCCCATCCCGGATCTAATCTTTGTCCCAGAGCATTTTTTCTTGTAGTTTTACCAGAACTTCCAGCTGATGACATCTATTTCAATATTCATATAATTCAAGTTATTTAACCAATCAAAAGTTTTGCATTCATATAATTCATATAACTAGTTGGCAGGATTACAAATACGGATAAGAAAGCAGATCAGGTGTATTAAGCCTTAGGCCTGCTTATCCTGCAACAAATTAATTAAATTCACTACACATATATACTTCTTAATTTGAAGCTAGAACCTACTGTTTGTGTGTGTGTGTATGTATATATATATATATATATATATATATATTCTGTAAAATACTAAAATCATGGAGCCAACAAAAAGTTATGTATTAACTAAGATTAATCCTGAGGTACATATATATATATATTAAATATAAAAAAGGGTTTATACGATTGTGTGTGTGACTGTGTGCTTAGTTTAGTACCTTCTCCATAATTTACTCTTCTGTGCACTTTTCTTCCCAACACCAAAAACAACACCTACTCAGTTCCTCACTTCGTTTCATGTTTCTACTGTAGAAAGAGCTGTATGAGCGGCTACATAGAGAAGAGGAGAGACACTAGGATTGGACAACACTTCTCATTCACATCACAACTCAATTCAACTGTGTTTGTTCTATCTATATCCCCATATTCCCTCTCTCTCTCTACCTCATATCCTCTTTCTGTCTCTAGACCGTGCTCTTAGGTTTCTACCAATGGAACTTCATTCTCTCTTAGGTTTGAGTTTTGTAATAGTATTATTGTTCCACGAATTGCTCGTCTTTTTCTCTATTTTTTTTTTCCTTAATCCATTATAAAAATATTATATTATGTACTTGTGAATCACAAGTTGTGATGGAGAGCTAGCCATTATAAAAAAAACTGATTTCACTGAATAAATTATGCATATGCATAGCTTTGCTTTTAGATCTGTTCTCCTCTCCATCTCTCTTAATTTACCTCAACATTCCTCTAATTTACTGCCCTAAATCTACCTCTATTTTTTTTTAATTCAAAGCAGGTTTCCAAACACTAGAAATAAAAAATAATAATAAAAATTCATCAAACCAGTCTATTCAAAATTATATATATATTCAAAACAGGATTTGAAGTTATTTATTATATCTTTGTGTGTATATATTTCCTATTATTTTTCAATTGGTTGAATTCTCTCCTCACTGTCATGGATCCTGTTAATTAGTAGTTGGAGTTTCTTGATCAAGGAAGAAAATAAATATATAACATACCTGGCCGAACCTGTTGTATGGATCCGATGATTCCGATATGCAAGCTATGAGCCTCTGCCCTCTGCACTGCCGCCTCCTCTCAGTCTTCGACTCCTCACTCCTCTCTGAGATAGGGTTCGTAACTTTGTTTTGTATTTTATGATTTATAAAATAAATAATTAAAATATATAATTTGGTAAATAAATTTTTATACAAAATTTAGGCCAGGCTTTGGCCCAAACAACTAAAAGAATAATGGCCCAAAGACCAAATAGTATAAAGGCCCGCCCAAAGGCCCCAAACACACATTTTTGGTAGAATCGGTAGAATCATATAGAATCGTACGATTCTATGATTCTAACAATGATTCTAACGATTCTACCTACGATTCTATCAATTGGGCGATTCTGATCCGATTTGAGTCGATTTTAAGAGCTAAGTCGTAGAATCGCGCGATTCTACGACTCAGAATCGCGATTTTAACAACCATGGGAAAAACAGATGCAAAGGAGAGGGCGAGAGAGGGATGGATGAGGCGTCCCTAGAAAAGGAAAGCTGTCTCACTCACTTTTTTTTTGGTTGAATGGAAGGGATAGTAGAAAGAATGGATGGGGTGACAAATTTTATTTTGGTTTGAAGGTGAGAGTGAGAGTTTATATATATATATATATATATATATATATATATATATATATATATATTTTGCCAACATACGCTCATTATATGTGTGAGAGAATTTCAGAATATGTTAAGAGGAATGTGTCATCCCTCCTTGCTTCCTCCCTCTCTTCCTTTCCTTCCAACCAGACAAGGGAATGTTGATCTATCCCTTCTCTCTTCCAGCCTTCCTCAATCATTCATTTTCCAACCAAACATAACATAAGTGACCAATTATTATTGCTCTTAGGGATATTTATCTCTTAGAAAGTGTTAAATTGGACGATTAATCTGCAGTAAGTAGACTTGATCATTCACCAAAAAATTGAAACAAAAGCAAGAAATTATATGACAAATGAGGAAATTAAAATTTTACAAATTCTGTTGAATGGTTCTGTGACTCCTCAATCTCCTACAGTTCAAGTATGTCATGGACATTTTTCATGCTGCTGTACTTCTACTTGTTTCTGATTATAGATTAAAAATCATTTTGAGATCGTTAATTTACTAGCCTATCTTTATTCTAGTGGCTTTGGATCTTGACTCTCAAGTCTTAGGTCAAGGTTTCAAGAGTAATAAAGAGAAAAGAAAGTGAAATAATAATAATAATAATAATAATAATTTCCAGTTAAAATAATGAAGCCAATTCTTCTAATGAGAAAGTTTAAAGTAGTCTTATTCAAAACTACAAAAAAGATCTGCTGAAAAGTTATTAAGAATAGGAAGGTAAGATGAGAAATGGAAGCCTTGGTTGACTGTTAGGAATTGATTTAAGAGTATATAATACCTTAAGGGCAACTCCAAAGTTTGCTTTTTGCTCTCTTTTTGCAGGTTGGGAAGCTTTAAAGATGACTGCATTCTCAATTGTCCTCTTTTTAGTTAGAAAATAGAGGCTACAAAAAAATATTATAATAAATAAAAATAAAAATAGCGCCTACAAATATTTAAAAAATTGTGTTTCAATAATTTCATCCCCCATATTCACAACTAATAAATATGAAATGTGCACTTTATTAGTTTTGCATGGGACTGTTCTGCTGATGTGGTGGTTGGGGAAATTTGGTGTTTCTATTTGGAATTTTTTTCCAGAATTCGTACTTTTAGACACCATAGAATCTAGAACGGTCAGGGGTTATATATATATATGTGTGTGTGTGTGTGTGTTAAATTTCCACAATGCCCTTCTACACAACAGCAAAATCGGGAGAGGTTTCCGAGCCCGGAAATTGTCTTGACTTCTGAAAAATTTAATTGACTTAAAATAAATAAAAATGCATTTCTAAAACCTTGGCTCAAGAAAATAACTTAAACGAACCTCGGGGCCCGCATGACACGCAAAATGAGGCACAAAAATTAAATTAAATAAAAATTCAAAAAAATAATCAGATTAATCAGGGACATTATAATTTACCCTCCTTAAAAGGATTTCGTCCCCGAAATTAAGTCATACCTGGAGGTGGAAATATGTTGGGATACTTGGAATGAACCTCTTGTTCTAGTTCCCAAGTAGCATTCTCCACACCATGGTGACATCACAAAACTTTCACTAATGAAATCGTCTTGTCCATCAACACTTTGTCCTATCAGTCAAGAATCTGGACCGACCTCTCCTCGTAGGTCACATCTTCGTCGACCTCAACATCAACCCAACTTAAAACATGTGACGGATCTGGCTCATACTTTCGAAGTATAGATACGTGAAATACATTATGGACTCTATCCATATGTGTCGATAATGCTAACCGATAAACAACTTTCCCAACACACTAAAAAATCTCAAACGGGCCAATAAATCGTGGCGATAGCTTGCTAATCTTCCCGAATCTCAACAAACCTTTCCGTGGTGAGACTTTCAAAAAGACGTGGTCTTCAACCTCAAAGGACAACGGTCGCCTACGTTTGTCTGCATAGCTTTTCTTTCAGATCTATGCTGTAAGAAACCTCTGTCTAATGAGCTTGACTTTCTCCGTGGTCTCGTACACGATTTTCGAACATAAGATGGCTGCCTACAAGGTCAACCATATAGCACTTTAGTCCAACAAACTGGTGACCTACAAGGTCTACCATATAGCACTTCAAATGGAGCCTTCTCAATGCTCGCCTAATAGCTGTTG